TGTTCACCAATGCCTGGCTCGAATACTTTCTACAATATGTGAAAATTAATGGCTGGCGGATCCTCCCAAGACCCCGTTCAATTCGTTGATGTGCCAAATTCTGAAAGTGAGGTATTTTCCCAATGCTAGTTTCCTAGAGGCGAACATTGGTCACAACCGTAGCTATCTATGGAGGAGCATTCACGCGGGTCAAGGGTTATTGCGAAGAGGAGCTATTCGGCGGGTGGGAGGCGGTAAAGATACGTTAGTTTGAGGTCAGTTGTGGGTGGCAGATGCAAACAATGGACCTCTGAGTACGCCATGCATAGAAGAACTTCATGATGCTAAGCTGTGCCAATTAAAGACCAGCGAGGCCATGAAAAAAAGCGAGCGAATCACATGGGTCATGTGCACGGACAAGCTGCTGGTTCCTCTTCTTTCCTTGGGGTGTGGATTACTCACCCACCTGATTGTATTTCGATGTTGATTTAATATATCCCAGTTTCCTTAAAAAAAAATATAATATAAAATAATTAATAAATAAATATAAAAGGAAAATAAAACATGATATAGCATTTTATACTGCAACATTAAAGAAACATAAACTGCAAAACCACCAAAAAAGAACTTGTAATCCTTACTTCACCTATAGAAACTAAAGTTAATAGAATAGGATGCTCCGAATTGTAAAGCCAAGCTCCAAATTGCTCTTCCTCAATCTTCTGTTTTAAATATGCTGGTTATGATTCAATATTCATTGGTGATGGTTCTCACTTAAAAATAGATGCCGTTGGGGATGTTGTAGTTTTTTATGGTAAGAATGATTTATTACTCTGTGATGTCCATCATGTACCCCAACTAACTCGTAATTTACTCTCTATTAGTCAGTTAACATCACAATATCCTTTTAAATTGTGAATTTACAGATAAGATTTTATGATTAAGGAACGAGCAACAAGTCGAGCCATAATAGTGGGTCAACGTAAAGGGGATCTTTTTTTTTTAATCCAAACAAAAGGAAGCACACTTTTCCAATAGACAAAACTCAGAGACTGAGAGTTGTGGCACCAACACCTTGGACATCCGCAAAAATCAAATGTTCAATTATTACGTACTAATAATTTAATTCATGTTAGTTCAAATAACAAGCTAGACATGGTTTGAATGTGAAAGTTGTCAATTAGGCAAACTTAGCAAACTACCTTTTAATTCATCTTCCTCTTCCAGTATTGGTGTTTTTGACAAAATTCATTCTGACATTTAGGTATCAGCCCCTATTTGTGATAGTCTTAAGTTAATTATTTCTTTTTTATTTAGTAATTTAGTAACATTTATAATAATACGGTTTTGAAAAACATATCTATTTTTTTTTTAAATCGAAATATCAAGTCAAAAATGTTGCTTTAAGCATAACACTAATGTTTAGCATTTTGAATTAAAATCATAATGATAATTGGTGCCCATTGCAATTTTTGACATGATAAAATGACTAAAGTGATAAATTTATGTTGAACTTTTTATTAAAATACTTTTTAAAAAAAGAGAGGAAGAAGAAGGAGAATGAGTAGTTAGAAAGACGGAGGAGGGGGAGAAGAGGAGGAGGAGGAGAATGAGAGGAAGAGGAAGCTAAGAGAGAGGAAAGAAGATTTATACATGGAATTAATTCCATTAGAGGTCCTTTGTCTTTGGTGTCAATTTCAAATTTAGTCCCAGACTATCATTTTTGTCATTTAACATCACAAACTATTATTTTTTGGACACTTTAAGTCCTTCTCATGACTTTTCATATTTTTAGTAAGGGTATTTTTGTCTTTTTTTATATTTTTTTATTTTGTTATTTTTTTCGGTTTCAACCGGTTTAATTGGTTTAAGGCTTTAGGTAAACATTGATTTTTAGTAACTTATTTTTCAACCGGGTTTTCGTAAAGTTCTAAACCAATTAAACCAGTTGAAATTGAAAAAATAACAAAATAAAAATATAAATAGACAAAAATGCACTTGAAATAGAAAAAGTCATGAGAAGGACTAAAAGCGTCCAAAAACTAATAATCTTGAATGTTAAATGACAAAAATGATAGTCTGTGACTAAATTTGAAATTGTCTCCAAAGACAAAGGACCTCCGATGGAATTAACTCTTTATATATGATATTAGTTTAAGAGTTAATTTCATTACGTGAGACCTTTCATTACTAATTTTACTTTCAAAGGAGCATGGAATCCCTAATAAAAGGAGAGATGTGTTCTCACATTTGCATATTATATAGTAAGTGAGTACGTAAATCATGCATTTGACATCTCTTTATGAATTGGAAAGAGATAATTTACTATATCATTTTGTGATAGTCTTAACTCTTAAGTTAATTATTTCTTTTTTTTTTATTTAGTAATTTAGTAACATTTATAATAATAAGGCTTTGAAAAAAGAGATATTTTTTTTTTAATCAAAATATCAATTCAAAAATGTTGCTTTAACCGTAACACTAATGTTTAGCATTTTGGATTAAAAACATATAAAACACAAAGTGTGGTGGTAATTTACAGTAAAATACAAAACATAGCTAATTGGCACGATATCGCTACACAAAGGATTCGCAGATCGCTTAACACAGGAGAAATTAACACCGTGAACACTGGATGACAATTCCTTTACATCAACAATAATTAGACCAAAAGCAGAAATATAAGAGTATGAATTTAAAGCAAAATAAACTAATTGAAAGTCCGTTAATATATGATAGAGATACTTTCATCATAACTTTCTTTGGGTTCATTTAGAAAGCCGCAGAAAAATGACTTCTGGAAAATAAGTTATTTTAATTTCCAAAAAACATGCATTTTCCTTTATAATGTTTGATTGCATTATGTAAAAACAAAAGCATTTCATGATCAAAAGATTTCTAGGAAGAATTTTGTTATTGGTCAGAAAGTTTTACTTTATCATTCTAGATTGAAACTTTTTCCTGGTAAATTGCGTTCTAGATGGGTAGGACCTTTTGTTGTCACTAATGTTTTTCCTCAGGGTGCAGTTGTAATACACAGTTTAGAGACCGGAAAATTTTTTAAAGTTAATGGACATCGTTTAAAGCCATTTTATGAAGGTTTTCAGGCATGTAATGTTGGAGAAATTAGTCTGCAGTGCCCAGTTTATGAAGATTGAAAAGAGATGATGTCCAACCAATGACATGCTGCTTATGACAAGGGGAGTTTGTTCCATTCTTTTAAACTCATTCTTTATTGTTTACGTGCCTTAATTTTAAATTTTATTTAACATTTGGGACAATGTTAAGAATAAATGTGGGGAGGGGATTTAACTATTATTCATTATTTGATTTTCCCTAAAAAAAAAAATTACTAATAAATTTTTCAAAAAAAATAATAATATTTTTACTAAAATTCATAACATAATTGAATAATTGGTCTTGTATATTATGATTACTTAGTTTAGTATTTTGTTTGATATGGTGGTGGCTAAACTAAGTAAGCATGAACCTGTGAGATTTTGAGCCTTTGACTGACACTTCAGTCTAATTGTTTTGTTCTTGTGTGATATCTTCCATGGATTTGTATCTCTAGAACTTGCCTTGATTCTCTTAAAAGCTAATTTGATGCATGCATGATTTTAATATAATTAAGGCCATCTTTGATTTTTAGCCTCACTAGCCAAATAACCTATTCATACAATGATTGATTTATCCTTTGTTAGCCACTTTGAGCCTTTTTAACCGTGTTTTTTTGCTATGGAACCACATTATAAGCCTCATAGCTGAAATTGATTTCCTTAAACTTGCCTAAAGGACTAGGGAAGCTTTGATTGGGTAAATTCATAAAGAGTGAGTGTGGGGAAAGATGTTTGGCGAAATGTCTATTAGTGGAAATAATGACTTTGTCATTTTATGAGCTTTTTGGTTGGTATTTTCAAAAAGAAATAAAAAAAAAAGAGGAAAAAATAGTAGAATAAAGAAATTGAAGAGTGCATGGGTGATGAACAAAGTGTATGTTGCTTGTTGTTAAAGAAGAAATGAAGGAAAATTATATATAATGATTCTTCAAAAATGAAAAAGAATCAAAAGAAAATAAACAGAAGAAAGAAAAGAAAAAGAGAAAAAGTGACAGTACAGAAGAGAAAAAGGAAAAAAAAAAAAAAGAGAATTATTATTATTTTGTTATTATTATTATTATTTTTCATGTTGAATAAAGTATGATTTGTTTATGATTTTATGGGGATGTGATTTTTATCAAAACAACAAGAGAGATTTGGTTCACTTGGTCTTTATTTTGAATTATTAGTTCATTCAATCATGCTCCTCTAAGTTTTTAAGGCTTTTTGAACTAATTCCTAAATGATTCCTACCTTTTACCTTAGCCCCATTACAACCATGAAAAAGTCCTTATGATTTGATCATGCATGTTATCTTGTAGTGGAGAATGAGAAGATATGCAAGCCTATGGTAGAGCATTTCTATAGGAATTGATTTGAGTGAAATTTATACATGCACCCTTCAAACACTTTTGAGTGATGAGTGATATTTCCGTGAGGGCTTGGTTATTTAGTTTACTCATTATCTAATAAACTGCTAACTAATTATTTATAATGTGTTTGAGACCAATGTTCATGAAATGTTATGAGTTTTTATATTTATATTTTTCTTAAATAATGTTTTTGCTTGAGGACAAGCAAATGATTAGTGTGGGGAATTTTGATGAGTACGATTTATATATTTAATTTAGATTATTTTTTATAATAAATCAGTTTAATTTATTTAATAATCTATTTATTTTAAACTTTATTTTATGTTTTGCACTAATATAATATTAGTTGAATAATTAGGCTTAATCAACAAATTAATAAGTGTTGGGCTTAATTAGTTTATGGAAAAATTAAATAGGCTTAGTAGTTATTTGGCCCACTAAAATGAAGCCCAAATCCTATAAACTAATTATCTTTTCTTTTAGGTGAATTATGTGCGCAAGAAATAAGACCAGAGAACATCTTCAACGGCGTGACTTGTTCTACGATTTCTCCGTGAATTTATGCTACGTATGTAGACAGCAAACGACGACTCCGCTGCGATGAAGACGAACTGCACACTCCGTCCGTAAACTGCCGTCGACTCTTTCTGTGGCTTCTTCGAATTGTGGTCTGCTGCTGTACAGACAAATTAATTGAATTAGAGGTTGGAGCTTGTTCTACTGATTTTTTGTGGTTTCTTAGAAATTAGGAAAATAAAGATTATTTATTTTCTAGGTTCTATGTGATTGAAAGAAATTGATTTTATTTGTGGATGTTAGGGAAATTAGGGCTATTTTTAGCTGATTAGGGAGCCTGAACTAGTATAAATAGGGATGAATTTTGCAGTATAGGATAGTCAGCTTTTTGTTCAGAATCACTTTATTTTACTGTAAACACTCTCTGCAATGTACTGCTGAGTTCGAAATTTTCCAATTCAAGGATTATTGAAGTTTGATTCTACAAGACCAGTGAGATTTATTTAGCTTAATTTTATTCTCTGCACTTTATTATTTATATATCTCCTGTTATCTGAGTTTGAGTTTAAATTATTGCTTGATTAATTGTTGCAAAGGGCCCATTGTTCAATTGTCAAGTCATTATATTGCTAATTAGAACTTTGAATCCGTAATTGTTTAAGTGTTCTAAAGCTAGTAGCAAATCACATAGTTGATTATAAATTAGATTTTCAATCTTATGTTATGAAGATATATAGTCTAGTTTAAATGAACCATGCTTTTGAGTTTGTTGGCTAGAATTGGTAGTCTCTCTAATTCTTTTAATGCTGTTAGTAAACTAAATCCTAAGAGCCTGTTTAGGATTGTTTATTAGCTAGGGAAGTAATCAAAGAGCTTGTTTTGATTACCGACAAAGTAAGGAAAGATAGGTTATTAGAGCTTGTTAATAACCATAACCAATTTGGTAAAGAGTAAAGTAATTTAATTTATTGTTGGGAATCAATGATCTGTCTTGTTAGAATTAGATTGATATTCTTCCTTGAGTTGGATACTAGTTGTTATTGATTATTATTATTATTTGATATTTCATATTGTTTGCCTTTTTATTGTTGCTATTTAATTTTTAATTCTCATCTGTTTCTTTATTAAATCTTTGATTAAAAATAAGTTTGACCAATCTCTGTGGGTATGACTTTACTCATCACTATTGCAAATTATAGAGTAAGTAATTTATTATTTGTTGGTTTCGACACCCATCAACGTACAATTGTTAAATTTTGTTTCTTATGAAATGGTAATTGTGATTTCTTTCCTCCTATATGATTGATTATTAATGCAATCATGATTGGGTGGAATATTGGAAAATATAGATGTATACTCATGATTATTGTTGTTGGGAGAAGGAGTTTGTGTTACCAACTCTAGTTCTCCCAAATGGAGTCCCGGCCCTTTGCTTTCTCTATCTTCCTCTCTTCTTTCAAACCTTTAATTTCCGGCGGCCATTTCACCTTAGTGCATGTGAAAAATGATACTAAAAAACAAAGTTATAAGTGTAATAACATATATTATCAAATGATAATGTAATTAAAATGTAAATGATCTTGGAGTGTAATTAAAATGATACTTGAACGTGAAAAAAATGAAACTAAACAATAGAACTCATACAATAACGTATATGCAAATGAAATGATACGACATAGTTTTACTTCATGATCCACATTGCAATGTGGATTATGTGGACCATAGATAAACGTTCATTTTTAGTATAATGTTTGTTTTTAATATGCAAGTTCATTTTTAAATATTATACCAAATAGTGAACCTTCAACACAAAAAATTAACATTCAATGTATTAAAAATGAACTTTTAGTATATTAAAAATGAACATTATGTCAGTGGATTTGAGTGGGTGATTGTAACACCCGATTTTACCACAACTCCGCTATTATCAAAAGAAATAGGAACCGGATTAAAGTGAATAGAGTTTGGACAGATGATGCTCCTATATGTGAATATGTGACTGACTTTTTTTTCTTCTTTGTTTGGCAGGGTTCTAAGGGATAACGAGTTGGAGCTTTCGAAGATGGCAGAAACTCGTAGAATCTCCCGCGGCCCCCAATCAAGCTTGTAGACAAAAATTTAATGACCCTTGTGGGCAAGATGGCAGAAACTCGTAGAATCTCCCCCAATCAAGCTAGTAGACAAAAATTCAATGACCCGTGTGGGCAAATATATGCGATGTACGGACATATGAAATAATATATGCACGTAGGTTCAATTCCTACTGGATGCACGCAATCAGGACCTTGGAATCTCATCCATACATAACGAATTGATGTCACATAACACAATTCAGATCCATATCATAACATATCTATCTATATATTTTTTTCATATATATGATTTTATTCTTATGAGCTCCATTACAAAAATGGCACCTAACCATTAAGTAAGATGCGATGGGTGAACGACGGGAATTGAACCCGCGCATAGTGGATTCACAATCCACCGCCTTAATCCACTTGGCTACATCCGCCCCCAGACTATGTTCTTGTTTTTTTCATTTTTTTTCTAATTACTAATTATATATATATATATATACATATATATATATATATATATATACATATATATAAATATATATATACATATATATATATATATATTTATATATATACATATATATATATATAATTACATTCATGTAAAAACAGGGCTTAAAATACAAATGTGTGGACATTTCTAGATCGTTGGATTTTTGGTATCTAAGGTTGTGATTAGTTTTTATGATTTTGTATCTAAGGTTGTGGCCATTTCTAGATCGTTGGATTTTTGGTATATATATGAATTTCAATACAAATTATATGAAATTGAAAAAAATATTAAAAGTATATTTTGATAAATTATATGAGATTGAAAGTTTAATAAAATTTGAGCTTGTTACTTGCAGATATTTAAACTTATCATAAGCTGCAAATCAACAATGTATAGGATATATAGTTGGTCAAGGTATGTTCAAAGTAAAGAAATAATTAGTAATATACTTTTTAAAGTTTAGAGTACATATTCTCAATACATTACAATACAACTCAAACATATAATAATCTATTAACAAAACATAAGAATTATCAAAAGTACATTTTCTCAATACTTTACAATATTATAGAAATCAAACATATAATATACATCCAAAAAATAATGGAAAACTAAAGAGCTGTGCAGAAAAACATCATCATGGACTCCAAGCACCAAATTAGCTATATATGTCCTATGATACTTGAACTCCCTGCAAAAGAATAATTCAACCATGCAAACAGTTTGATTGCAGTGCAATCACGTACTTGGAAGAATAGGTGTTTGGAAAACTTGAAAATTCACTGATTACATGAGCTTTACAAAACCTTAGAAAAGCTTATGTGCCACTAGTAGCCCAGAGTAAACAACCTTATGTGCCACCGGGCACAATTGTCTTTGAAACCCAATAATAATAAACAATTTAATGTATACAACCTTATGTGCCACCGAGCATCATTGTCCATTGTCCATACAGAACAGACCCTTCAACCACACAAATTATACTCAATGAGTTTCCTTCAAGTTTAACACTGAGAGGCCCTTTCTTCTTTGTTGTTTGGGTTGATGAGAACTCACTCACAAGGGGTCTCTTTACCACTGAACTATCACCCACAACTTCACCATTGTCAATCTATTGATACATTTGTGAGATTTAAATATACAAAGCATAATCTACGAGAAACTTAACTCGTAGCAGCGGAAGCGGAAGCATTGTAGATCTCCAGCCATGGTTGATATCATGTTGTGTTGCCTCTTGAACGGTAGATCTGCATAATAGGGTTAGCCGTTTTGTCTCATACTTGACTCAGAACCCTAGATGGTGTACTGGTATTTTCTGAGCAGTATGAGTACCATATAATATTCATGTATCTTGTATCCCATCAATACAAGCTTTATATAGGCACATTGGTGGATATAAGACTTAAACCTAAAGGTCCAACCCAACCAATTACTTAATGGGCCTAGTCCACTTGCACCACATAAGTAAGACCCATAATAAATAATATATATTATACTGGAAAGTCTTACAACATTAAGTTATTAAGTTATTTGAATCCAATATAATAAAGTTTTTAGTGTACTAGAGATCGAAGAACACAATTCCCTAAATATTATTGTTCAAAATAATAGAATCAATCTTAATACACTTGAAAAAAACATATTTGTATATTACAGAATACTTGAAATCTATTGTAAAATGTGATACCTATAAAAGAGGAAAAAGCTACACAATACTTGAACGCTTCTAAGTCATCACTTTATTCTTCAATCTAGCACTATGCCTCAACATCAACCTAATAATAAAAGAAATTAGTTACATATTGAAATAAGATTTTTAAAAAAGATTGAAAGTATTAATATGCTATTACCCAATAAAATTGAGAACGATGATCAACAATGCCTGGCTGGAATACTTTCTACAATATGTGAAAATTCAAGGCTGGCGGATCCTCAGAAGTCCCCGTTCAATTCGTTGATGTGCCAAATTCTGAAAGCGAGGTATTTTTCCAATGCTAGTTTCCTATAGGCGAACATTGGTAACAACCGTAGCTATCTATGGAGGAGCATTCACGCGGGTCAAGGGTTATTGCGAAGAGGAGCTATTCGGTGGGTGGGAGGCGGTAAAGATACGTTAGTTTGAGGTCAGTTTTGGGTGACAGATGTAAGTGTACAAATTAGTACACATTAATTTGGCTAATTTATTAGTTTAATTTATTAGATTGATTTATTAGTTTGTATTATTTAGTAGTATTATTATTTAGTTAATCTTTTGGACCAAGATCAATTTGTGGTGGAGATTTTCTCATGAAGAAGGATTCAAAATGCAAGTCAGAGATTACTAAAGAATGAGTGGCTAAGGATGTTTGAATCACATGTGCAACACATAATGTGGATCAAGAAAGTGGAAGGTGAAGCGTATAAATGGAAAGCACATCAAGAGGGAAACTTGCCAATTTTGAGACTACAATTCTGAGTGCACACTTTCCTTACAATGCTTCCTAATTTAATCTGCTATGTTATTTAATTATTAAGAAGATTTAAATCTGTAATACATGTTCTGTACGTGGTGCTACTGAAGCATCTTGTGAAGATTGTTCTGGCATACGTGTGTCAGTCCTGGATAGGTGTTAGAAAAAGTGGTAGTGGTAAAGGCTGGATGCCATCTGTATTTATCTCTTGTAATACTCCTTTTGGTGAACATCTATAGTTGATTGGGCATATGTGGAGTGCCCCGCGGACGTAGGAGAAAGAGCTCTGAACTACGTAACAGTTTCTTTGTGTTTTTACTTTTTTTTATGCTTTCTGTCTTTATTATTTATATTTTTTAAACAAGTTTAAATAATGAAGGTAACTGGTGCATAACTTAAAAACAAGTAAAAATACATTACTTTTTGATTTCAAGATTCACGGTGCAATTTCAATTGGTATCAAAGCCTGTAGACTTAATCTTTTAGTCTATCGATCTGGCGATTCCGTGCCTCTTGAATTCATATCTTCAGCGGCTTTTATTATTTATCTGTTTATTACTTATTTGTTTGATCTCACGGGGTGTTAAGTGTTACAGAATGGATCGAACTAAAGTCCTTCCCCAGTTGACTGGCGACAACTACGCCTATCGGAAGGCTCGTACTCGTACGCACCTAAAAGCTCAAGGTGAAGCCGTGTGGCGGTCTGTGGTGTCAGGTTGGACACATCCCACCAAACTAGTTCCAGCACTGACGGGACAGAAGTAGCTAAGCTGAGACGGAGTGGACTCAAACCGAGATAACTAACGCTGGAAACAATGATAAGGTTTTAGACACAATTTATTCTCTTATGCATGAAAGTCTGTTTTCAATTGTTGCAGGTATTGTTGCAGCCAAAGGGGCTTGGGAAGCTCTTGAATCAACTTACGAAGGAACTACATCTGTGAAACAATCAAAGCTGCAGCTGGTCCAGTCTGATTTCGAAGAACTACGAATGAACGAGGATGAAACAATCATCAATTTTCACACACGCGTACAGGAACTAGCGAATAGGGCAATGGTCCTTGGCAAACCTTTCTCGCAAGCAAAGCTTGTTAAGAAAATTCTGAGATCTTTACCCCCCAGGTTCAGAATGAAAGTCACAGCCATCCAAGAGCATGATGGTTGGGAGGATAAAATGGTTACTCAATTAATGAGAAATCTTAGAACCTATGAAACGGAAATTTTAACTGATCACACGAAAACGAAAAAACAAAAAAATATAGCTTTTGCCGCTGAAGAAAATAATGTTGTATCTGATACAGACGAAACTAGTGATGATACAGTTGTCTTTTTTACTAAACAGTTTTCTAAAATTTTGAAACAGGTATCCAAAAATTCACTCAACAAAAATCCACAAAGAGGAGCAACATCGTCCAAAACTGGTCCTAGGACAGGTGCATCAAACTTCAAACAGTCTGTCTCACGTCCAGGACAGTCCAAAGAAAAACCCAACAATAAAGGAATCAAGTGTTATGAGTGTGAAGGCTTTGGACATGTACAAGCAGAGTGTGCTACCTACCTTCAACACAAAAAATCTATGTCAGCCATTACCTAGAGTGATGTCAAGCCTGACGTTGAAACAACTGGATCGGATGTTGAAGAAATCTCGGGTAACTTTGTTGCGTTTACGGCACGCGTAGGCTGTTCAAAATCTGTTGAAGGAGCTGACTCAGAAGCTAGCAAAGTATATTAAACACAAATAGCTGCTAGGAATGTACTACTTAAAGAGGCTGTTGATCGAGAAGAAAAACTACAAAACAAAGTACAGACTGGGAATGTACTCCTTGAGGAAGCAGCCGACCGAGAACAGAAACTGCAACATGAAGTACAGACCTTGAAACAGGAGCTAAGAACCTACAAACGACAAATCCAAATGATGGACACTACTTCAACACTTGACAAAATCCTTGATTCTGGAAGAAAAACTTCTGCAAAATTCGGTTTGGGCTTCACCGGAAGCAACTCAAAAGAGAAAACAGTCTTTGTCAAGTCGTTCGGACCTGATCCAGAGGGTGTCCCTGAATCCAGCACAATGAAACGCACCCATGGTATAGTAAGACCAAATAAACTACATTATAAACTTTATAACCCCGTATGTCATTATTGCAGGTTACAAGGGCATACCAGACCTGAATGCTACTACTTTTACAAGGACCAAATAATTTAGAAGTTCAGGCACAAGAAAATTCAGCCCTTTATAAAACAAATTTGGGTTAAAAAGACTTACTATATCTCGTTTGTTTCGTTTCACTCTAAAAGTGCAGGAAGGGAAGAGAA